CACCAGAGAGAGAGAGTGAGAAATCAAGCTGCCAGGTCTAGGACTGAAACAGTGGTCAGCCATATGGGAGTCCAGTACCTTAACCACCATGCCCAGCATATTTTTTCAAGTCTTGTGAGATCCAGGTGCCTTAACCACCATACCACTGCTTGGCCCCAATGTGATTTATATACATAGAATATCAACAGTAATACATAAGGGACCAGCAGTTAGCATAATGGCTATGTCACTGGACTCCCACGTAGTCGACCGCGGTTCACGTCCCGGACCCGGTGGCTTAAAACTCACACCGGGCGCGTGTGCGTGCGTGCCCAAGATCCCGAGAGGAGAATGGAGGAGAAGAGATTGCGGCGTGGCCATGCCCCCTGGGGGGTGATTTCTCGCTTTCTGTCTCTATGTCTCTCTCTGTCTGTCTGGCAAGTGCACGCGCCCTATAGCGAAAACCTCTCAAAAAAAAAAAAAACATAAAAACTCCTAGGTGTAATAAATTAATTCAGTAAAGTAGCAAGGTACAAAATTAATATACAAAAATCTACAGCATTTTAATACACTGACAGTGAATATATTGAGGTAGAATCAAAGAAAGCATCCCATTTACAACAGCCACAGGGAGAAAAAAGATACCTAGGAATAAACCTAGCCAAAGAAGTAAAAGACCTCTATGAGGAAAACTGAAAAAGAAATTGAACATGATGATACACAGAAAAGGAAAGTCAGCCCATGTTCCTGGATTGGAAGAATTAACATAATCAAAATGTCAACTTTACCCAAATTAATTTACAAATTCAATGCAATCTTGATCAGATTACCAGAGACATTCTTCACGCAGATACAAAACAAAATCATAAAATTTGTCTGAAATCATGAAAGATGGCATATTGCCACTGCAATACTATTCAGAAGAATAGAAGAATCTCAACAGTTGATCCCCAAATCTATACAAAGCTGTGATCATCAAAACAGCTTGGTACTGGCACAAAAACAGACACATAGGCCAATGGAAGAGAGTAGAGAATCCAGAAAAAAATGACAGAACATACAGCCAACTGATTTTTGGCAAAGGGCATAAGACAGTGCAGTGGGGAAAATAAATTATCTTCAGCAAAAGGTGTTAGAAGAACTGAATATCCACCTGCAGAAAAATGCTCTGTCACTGTTAACAAAAATCAACTCAAAATGGATCAAAGATCTAAATGTAAAGCCTCAAACTATAAAACTACTGGTGGAAAACAGGGGAAACTCTTGAAGACTTTGGAATAGGCAAAGATTTTAAAAATAAGATTCCCAAAGCACAGATAATAATTCCCAAAATAGGCAAGTGGGACTATATCAAGCTAAGAAACTTTTTTTTTTGAGAGAGAGGTTTTTCTGTAGGGCATATGTGCTCGCCAGAAAGACAGAGCGAGGCATAGAGACAGAAATCACCCCCTGGGGGGATGGCTGCGCCGCATTCCCTTCTCTTCTACTCTCCTCTTGGGATCTTGGGCATGCACATGCACATGCCCAGCATGAGTTTAAGCCACCAGGTCTGGGACTTGAACCACGGTCGACTACATGGGAGTCCAGCAAGATAGCCATCATGCCAACTGCTGGTCACTCAAGCTAAGAAACTGAACAACATGACAGGGACTAGCAGATGGAGTAATAGTTACGTCAATGGGCTTCCGCTTAGTCGACCACAGTTTGAGTCCCAGATCCAGTGGCTTAAAATGTAGGCCAGGCACGTGTGTGTGCGTATACAAAATTCCAAGAGGAGAAAGAAGGGATTGTGGCATGGCCATCACCCATGGGGGGGGGGGTGATTTCTCACTTTCTGTCTCTCTGGCACATGTATGTGCCCCATAGCAAAAATCTCTCTCTCAAAAAATAAAACCCAATAATAATAATAACAAGTGCTGGTAAGGCTGTGTTAAAAGGGGAACACTCCTACATTGTTTATGGGAATGTATAATAAATTAGTACAGCCACTCTGGAAAACACTGTGGAGATTCCTCAAAAACCTACAAATAGAACTGCCATGCAACCTGGTAATACCACTTTTGGGTATTTACCCAAAGGACAGGAAACCAGTCAGTTGGAAAGACACTGGCATATCCATGTTAATTGCAGCATTATTCACAATTGCTAAGACAGAATGAACCTGAATGCTCAAGAACAAAGACTGGATTGAAAACATGTAGCACATATACACTGTGAATACTACTCAGCCATTTAAAAAAAAAAACAGTGAGACCCTGTCATTTGATACAAAGTAGATGAATACAGAAGATTTAATGCTAAGCAAGCCAGACTATGAAAGGCAAACATTGTATATCCTTGCACAAGAGTCAAAGATATAATAGCAAAATGTACAAATTTACATACAGAGTCAGGAGTGGGAGGAAGGGGCTCAGGAGAAAATATTTAACAGACACAAGAATGTAAAGTGATCTTTTGAAAATTATTGGGTCTTTGGAAAAGTCATGATGTATTTTTCTATGCATACATGCAGTCATGATTTTTCTGATGACCCAGTATACATATGGTAATATCTTTGACTTGATTGACAGATATTGCATGTATGCTTTGAAAACCCATATCATATGCTGTAAAGATGTACAGTGATTGGGGCTGGCAGGTGGCATAGTGGTTAAGGTACTGGACTCCTACATTCGTGACTGTGGTTTGAGTCCTGAACCAGGTGGTTTGCTTTCTTAGGACTCCTTTCCCTTTCTCTCTCTCTCTGAGGAAATTAAAAAATAATAAATAAAATTAAATAATTCTTTTAAAAAGATATATAGTGATTAAATATAAATAAAAAGAAATGTTATTCTACTATACAAAAAAAGAGGCACTCACTCTCAAGGTCATGAAAGTGTAGTATTACTAAAAAGTAAAAAGTAGTGGGACCAGCAGTTGGCACAATGGCTATGTCGCTAGACTCTCATGTAGTTGACCATGGTTTGAGTCCTGGACCCGGTGGCTTAAACTCATGCTGGGTGCCTGTGCGTGTGCGTGCGTATTGCGGTGTGGCCATCCCCCCCCCGGAGGGTGATTTCTCACTTTCTGTCTCCCTCTTTCTGGCGAGCGCACATGCCCTATAGCAAAAACCTCTCAAAAAAAAAAAAAGAAAAAGGGGAACTAGTAGATGGCAACATGGTTATGGTGCTGGACTCCCACATGACCAACCATGGTTCAAGTCTTGGACCCAGGGACTTGAAAAATCATGCTGGGTGTGTATGTGCCCAAAATCCTAGGAGTAGAATAAAGGAGAAGGCATTGTTATGGCCAAACCCCTGGAGGGGGGGTGATTTTTTACTTCTCACTGTCTCTATCTTGGCAAGCACATGCACCCTGTGGCAAACGCCTTTAAAAAAAAAAAAAAGTAAAAATAAACAGGTGAAATTAATTTTACATATATTAACCCCATACATCCCTTTTAGTATGTGTCAATAGTCATATTTCAAGTGCTTAGTAGCCACATGAGTCTGATGTTATAGGACATAGTAAAATTAAGGAGACCTGATTATCAGAATTTAGAAAGCTTCCCAAATTATTATAATGTTTGAGAATCACTGAGCTAGAATGAAAAGAATCTTGTCAGGCAGAGATCAGTTGAGAAAACTATTTCTTATCATCGAAATGGGTGATGATGACAGCCTAGACTTAAAGCAGCAGCGAAACTATCAGAGAGCAAATACTACTAGGTCATCGGGAAAGTCATAATATAGTAGATTCAAGAGACAACTAAGGAAAATGGACAGACTTTCATGAATAAAGACTGAATGTGAAGGTTGAAAAAAGGTAAAAGTTAACAATTCAGGTTCCTTTTAGATATTGTATATGTTGATGCCTTTGATCAGGTTCTATGATACTTGAGGTGAATGAATAGAAAACTAATTCTTCATTTGGTACATTTAAAGAGCTTTTCACCTTAGGGTATGTGTTTTCACCAGAGAGAGAGACAGTGAGAGGGAAAGTGAGAAATCATGCCCCAGGAGGGACAGCCTTCCCCATTCTCCTGAGATCTTGGCCATGCATGCACATACACCTGGCGTGATTTTCAAGCCACCAGGTCCGGGATTCAAACTGCATTCCCATGTGGGAGTCCAGGAACATAACTGCTGTGCCATGTACTGGCCCCATTTGGTACATTTTTAAAATGGAAGGCCAGCAGGTGGTGTAGTGATTAAGGTGCTGGACTCGCACATGGCCAACTGCAATTCAAGTCCTGGAACCTGATGGCTTACTTTCTCACTTTCTTTCTCTCTCTCTCTGTCTTTGTTTCTTTCTGGTGAGCTTATGTACTCTGTAGCAAATTATGAAATCATAATAATGACAAATAAAATTCAATAAATATTTATTTAAAAAAAGTATCTGGAGACTCAGCCATAGTAGTGTGCTCCAGTAGATACTGCTACTTGGCAGACTGAGGCCATATAGGAGGCCTGGCCACCCTAAAAGCCAGGTGCAATGACACATGCTTGTAGTCCCAGCTACTTAGGAGCCTGAGGCAGCAGAATCACAACATAGCTATACCCTATCTAAAGAAGTGTCTTAGAATCAGGGAAACTCAATGAGCAGATAATAACACAGACTGACCAGACAGTTGCTCCTCTAGAGAGTTTATGTTGATTTTAAAATTATCTTTGTATTTTGGAGGTTGTACTTTGAAAACAGGTAAAACAATATTCTGCTCTATTTTTCCCTTTGTCTTAATTCCATTTTTGTCTCAAGTCTCACATTGCACACTGGAAAGTTCAGGAAATGCAATATAGACTCTCAAGTATAAGTACATGTATATTTTAATAAACACATATTTATGTGTGTATATAAAATTTTAAAAATATATGTGAATATGTAAATTAACCTATGTTTTTGAACGATTAGCCAAGTTTTTAAGTAGCATCTGCTTTTACTAGTTTTAGTCTTGTACTTTTAGCTCATGTTGAAACTTTGTTATAAACCTAACTTTTAGAAGTTAAATACTGATTAAGTGGGAAATTTTTTTTCTTTCATAGTATCCAATAAATGGCTCCATGAACGTGGACAAGAATTTCGAAGACCATGCACATTGTCGGAATTAGAATGACAACAGACTTCCCCTCCTCTCCTGTTGTTTGTACTCTAATGTGTCTGATACACACATTTCCTAGTCTTAACTTTCAAGAGTTTACAATTGACTAACACTCCATGATTGATTCAGTCCTGAATCTCATCCTGTTTCATCTGTGGACGATCACCTACTTTGTGGGGTTTTTCCTCTCAAAAGTAACACTAAATCACCACATTGTATATATAAAACCTTAAAGTTCAGTTGGTATCACGGAAGATAAAGCAGAGTTAAAAATGAGGAATTTTAAATTTTATGTTGTATTTTAAAGAACTTTTTGGTTAGATTTGAAAATATAATTTAAACCTCTAATTTCACTACATCTCATTTGGTGAGTGGTAGGATAGGATGGGCCATGTGATTAGAAAGCAGATAACTTACAGTATGTGTCTAGGTGTTATTTTTACCCAGTCTTACTGATTATTTTCTGGATCTACCTGAAGACTGGTAATAACTAGGACTCTAACCTGGTTCCATATGATGTCTACCCCTCCATAAGCTATTCTAAGTTGATCTTCCCCCCCCCAATTCCTTTCTAAAGAAGGTATATTATACCATGTTTCACCAGTCCCCCAGTACTCTCATTGCTCCACTTTTGTGAATTAAACATGTTTGAGTTAAAATAACTTTGTTTAAAAATTTTATTTAACAATTTTTATTTTTAAACAAAGTTCTGCATAACAATACTCTGCCTTAATTAAAATGCTCATCATCTAGTTTGTTTTTTTTCCTTTTCTTAAATGACTGATGATTTTGGCCAGAAATTTTGCCTTTTTTTTTTAGTACTAATACCTTGCCTCTTATTCCTGCTCCAGCAGGAGAGTGATATTGGTATTCTGATTAAGTATTGTGCCTTAGGAGACTGGAAGTTTAAAAACTGTACAAGTCCTTTTCAATAATGAAGGAATTGGTTTTTTAAAAAGTAATCTTTTTTCTTAAAAAGCCAAAATGTGTTTTTAAAATTCTGAAATGTGTTGTGACAATGACCTATTTATGATCTTAAATCATTTTTAAAAAAGTTCCTGTTTTCTGTGTGGTTCTTCATATTTAAAATGAACGTATGATATAGCAATAACGGGTTAATTCTAACTTATTTCTCTAGTACATAGAACCTAAGTTTATTATATTAGCTTTAACTCACTAATGTCAGGTTGTTATGGAAGAAAAATGTAGATTCTGAAATGTCAGATAATCAGCTCTGGTGTTTTACTGTAATTATGAGGTTATTATAATAATGATATTTAGGGACCAGCAGTTGGCATAATGGCTGTGTCACTGGACTCCCATGTAGTTGACTGCGGTTCGAGTCCCGGATCCAGTGGCTTAAACTCATGCCGAGTGCGTACACATGCGTGCCTAAAATTCCAAGAGGAGAATGGAAAAGGGACTATAGCAAAAACTTCTCAAAAAAAAAAAAAAAAAAAAACTTTCAAAAAAAAAAAAAAAAAAAAGAAAAAGAAAAGAAAAAGAAAAGAAAAAATAATAATGGTATTTAAGATTTCCTCTAATTCATAAATATGGTGTGATACTATAAAGCTGTGAACTGAAGGAAATATGTTTCATTTAAAAAATGAACTGTGAAGTTCCTTCTTCCTAAGTACCATTTTTTAAAAAGAGAATTACTTAATTTTATTTGTTGTTATTTTTTTTTTACTTTTTTAAAATTTGACCAGAGAGAGGGGCAGGGGGGTGAGAAAGCAAGCCACCAAGTCCAGGACTGGAACCACAGTTGGCCACATGGGAACCCAGCACCCCAACCACCACACCATCTGTATGCCCCATTACCATTTGTTTTACAACAAGTATTTTAGTAAGAAATACTAAGTTCAGCACTTTTATATTTTTAGGTTTCGTGGCCATATAGGATTTAAAGGTTTTTTTCTTTAGTAAAGATTTGATGGAAATTGGGGCCAACAGGTGGCATAGTGAATAAAGGCACTGGATTTTCAGATGGCTGACCACAGTTCAAGTCCTAGACCTGGTGACTTGCTTTCTCTCTTTCTCTTTCTCTCTTTCTCTCTGTCTGGTCAAATTAAAAAATAGTGATAGCCAATGGAATTAAATAAAAAATAAATAAAAGATTAGATGGAAACAACAAATTTAAAGGTGTAGAAGTAAAATGGGGGTGGTTCAAAGATGGAAAAAAGCACTTATTGCCATAAATATTTTACCAAGTAGAATATAAATTGTATCTATTTTAGAAGGAAATTACATATTCCATAATCTAAATTTCCTTATTCTATTTAACTCAGAATCCCACATAGGGATTTGTAAACATTTTTCAGAGTTAGATCTTACAGAACTCTCCAAAATTTCATAATTACCAAATTTTTCTTTCCAAATGAAAAGGGAAAAATCTAGTATGAAGTTTTGAGACTAGTTGTCACATTTTTTTTCTGCTGAGTTTTTAAAATAATTGAGGCATGGAACTATCCTAGAAAATAAAGGAAACTGGCTTGCCAACTGCACGCCTGTGTCCTAAGACTGGAAGTTTTATCACTCATTAACTTTAAATATGGAGTTTCACCAATATGGAGTTAACAGGATTCCACCAGAACATCCTAACAGAAGGGTAAGTAAATGTGGTAACTGGGTAATGACCTAATGAGATTATGAAATGAATAATGAAGTGGCTTTAGGAGTCTTTGGAAGCTAAAAGGTAAATGCAGTGATAAAAAGAAGCAATCTAACTATATACTTCAGAGAAAATATAATAAAATGATTATTATAGTGTGAGAGGGTTGAGAAAGAGAGGGGAAAGCACTCTCCAGTGGGGTATGGTCATGCTGCAATCCCTTCTCCTCCATTTTTCTATCCTTTTGGGAATTGTGGCATGCAAGCAGATTCAGCTGGTATGTTTTTTAAGCCACTGGAGTCAGGACTTGAATTGTAGTCAGCCATGTGGGATTCAACTCCCTTAACCACTAGGCTATAGGGCTGGCCTCAGTCAACATTTTTAATATCAATGCTTGAGAATTTTATTTCTTTTTTTTCTCTTCCTTCTTAATCGTCTTCTCTTCCTCCTTTTCCTCTTCTTATTCTCCCCTCTCCATTTTCTCCTCGTTAGAATGAATATCCATAATCTAAATTTCCTTATTCTATTTAACTCAGAATCCCACATAGGGATTTGTAAACATTTTTCAGAGTTAGATCTTACAGAACTCTCCAAAATTTCATAATTACCAAATTTTTCTTTCCAAATGAAAAGGGAAAAATCTAGTATGAAGTTTTGAGACTAGTTGTCACATTTTTTTTCTGCTGAGTTTTTAAAATAATTGAGGCATGGAACTATCCTAGAAAATAAAGGAAACTGGCTTGCCAACTGCACGCCTGTGTCCTAAGACTGGAAGTTTTATCACTCATTAACTTTAAATATGGAGTTTCACCAATATGGAGTTAACAGGATTCCACCAGAACATCCTAACAGAAGGGTAAGTAAATGTGGTAACTGGGTAATGACCTAATGAGATTATGAAATGAATAATGAAGTGGCTTTAGGAGTCTTTGGAAGCTAAAAGGTAAATGCAGTGATAAAAAGAAGCAATCTAACTATATACTTCAGAGAAAATATAATAAAATGATTATTATAGTGTGAGAGGGTTGAGAAAGAGAGGGGAAAGCACTCTCCAGTGGGGTATGGTCATGCTGCAGTCCCTTCTTCATTTCTCCATCCTTGGGATTTGGGGATACACATGCACGTGGCATGATTCTTGGGCCACTACGGTCTGGATTTGGACCACATTCGGCCATGTGGGACCTCGCTCCCTTAAACACCAGGCTATACGTCCAGCCTAGAAAGAAAATCTGATACATGCTTAACATGGATGAACCCTGAAGATATGCAAAGTGATAAAAGCCAGACACAAAAGGACAAATATTGTATGATTCCACTTAGATACCTAGAGTAATCAAATTCGTAGAGGCAAGAAGCAGACTGATGATTGCCTGAGGAAGGGAGATGGAGGTTGGGAGTTAATAGGTACAGAATTTCATCTGGGGAAAATGAGGTTCTGGAGATGGATGGTGGTGGGACTGAGACTCGAACTGTGGTAGACTGTGAGAGTCCAGCAATGTAACATTACATCATCGCTGGTCCCAACATAATTTTTTTTTAAATTAGAAATATAAGGACTCAAGAGTAGATAATAAACTGAAAATGATGAGCCAGCAGGTGTCGTGGTAGTTAAGGGTGCTGGACTACCACATGGCCGACCATGGTTTGAATCCTGGACTTAGCAGCTTGCTTGCTGGTGTGCTCTGTCTCTTGCTCACTCTCACTATGTCCTCTTCTGGTCAAATTAAAATAAAGTTAAAATAATTCTTTAAGAAAGTAAAAACTGAAAATGAGCAAAGCAGATCTAAATTCCAGATAGTAAGAATCTCAAATGAGCAAAACCAAGGGAAGAGAATAAAGCTTTAAATATATTCCAAGGAGCTGGCAGATAGCATGGTGTGGCTAAGACATTGGACTTCCACATGGCCAACCATGGTTCGAGTCCTGGACCTGGCAGCTTGCTTTCTTTCCCTTTCTCTCTTTTGTCAAATTTAAAAGTAACAATAATTATCTTTTGAAAAATATTTCAAGAAAACTTCCCTGAAAGTACTTAAAACTATATGTAACATGTTGAAATACATTATATATCTGAGAACATTGAGTCAGAAAGACCAACAGTAATAAGTTCTTATAAAATTACCAGATATTGAGGAGGGATGTGAATCTTTCAGGCATTTAAGCAAAACAGAGCACATAACTTTCAAAAGAATATTATATTAGCATCAGATATTGACATCAACACTTTAGCCCAGAAGAAAATGGATTAATATTTAAGACAGTGAAGAAAAAATGTGAACAAAAGATTTTATATCCAGCATAACCAACCTTCAGCTTAAAAGGGAACAAACAGAACTGTCAACGTGGAGGAACTCCAAAAATACTGTCCTCATAATCCCTTCCCAAGGAAATCCAGAGAGAGAGTTTCACAGATGAGATGGAAATTGTAAAATAGACATGAAAGACAATGTATACATAAGTAATTACATGCGACTCTATAACCTTTAATGTTTATGATATGCCAATAAAATATTTTAAATCAGTGTATTTAATTAGAAAAAGAATAGACAAATCTAGGTAAGTATGATGAATATGAGTGCTTAGATGAAAGTTTACAACACTGGTCAGGTTAGAAGGAGCCAAAATTAACTTTCCACCTTACACGGCTAGAAAAAATGTACAATGAAATATTATTTGACAATAAAAAGAAGTGAAGACATTTGTCACCAAGAACAGACAAGGGTCCATATGATTTCATCTATCAATTTATAAAATGTCCGGATAAACTAGAAAGTAGTCAGTGGTTCCCCAGGGGAGGGAGCTATTGGGGGATATGAACTAAGGGGTATAAGATTTCTTTGGGGGTGGGACCAGCTGTTGGCATAATGGCTATGTTGCAGGACTCCCATGTAGTCGACCCCAGTTTGAATCCCAGACCTGGTGGCTTGAACTCATGCCGGGCGTGTGTGTGTGTGTGTGTGTGTGTGTGTGTGTGCCTAAGATCCCAAGAGGAGAATGGAGGAGGAGGGATTGCAACGTGGCCATCCCCCCAGGGGGGGTGATTTCTCCCTTTTTGTCTCTCTGTCTGGTGAGCACATGTACCCTGTAGCAAAAAACAAAAACAAAACAAAACTCTCAAAAAAATTTCTTTGGAGGAAATAAAATGTTTTAAAAGTCTGATAATGGATGTACAATTCTACAAATATACTAATTATTGAAAAAATATGGAAAAAGAAGAAAGGTTGAATATTTTTATGACCTAATTTTTTAAAGTTTATAATAAAACAATAGTCCAGTGTGTATTATAAGAACGGATACACAGAACCATGGAACAAAGTCCAGAACTAGACAAACACATAGTCAACTTTTCTTTAGATACTACAAAAATTGAATTCACCAACAATACTAAAGATAAAATTTCCTCCAGGACTTTTCCTAATTATTCCTTAGTAGGGTTGACCTGTTAA